TGATTTTTTTCGGTGTTTTTTTTTTTTTGATTTTTACACGCCGCGTAAAAATATTTTGCGGTTTTCTGCGTGCTTGTGTGTATGTGCGAGTGTGTGTTTAAATCACATGCATAATATTATGTACATATCGAGATTTGATGTCGTAAATCGCGTTATATGAAAACACGCGAAATGATTGGTTGTCGAAAAAACGGTTAAGCCCATAATAATATGTCATATTTTTTTTTTATTGATCTTTAAAAAATACAACTCGGCAGCAAAGGCCATTAGTTCTATGTCATATTTTGTTTAAGTGCTTCGCGTCGTCTGTTGAATCGACAATATTATACTGTAACGATAATACGTGAATTTGTGCATAACATCAAGCGACAGAAGATGATTTTTTTTTAAACGTAAACGCTGATTTTACGGAAAAGTACCTATATTGTAACGATTTTGATGATAATATTAAATATAATTGTATATTTGTTGTCGTCCCAAAACAATATCGCAAAAGAAACATGTACAAAATTGCATATTATTTTTATTACATGACATTTTGGGAAAAATTTGAATTAAAAAATCATCTAGGGCTAACCGGAATGATTTACTAGGGTTTCGGTCGAATCCACTGCAAGGGTTTGCAGATTTAAAGTTTAGATGAGTTTAAACATATTGTGGTGAACCAAAATTTCGTGTTGTACCCTCATATGCAGCGCTCCACGGCGCTCGGCTAAACTCTAAATACCTACTTATTTTAATAACATAACTAATTCACCATAAGTAATGGGAAAAAATATGATTTGTGTTTAAAATGTTGTCTTGTAATATATTATTGTTGCTTAAAATTAATTTTAAAAAAATATGCCCTAAAAAAACTTCAAATATTTTCTAGAAAATTAATGTTTACCTTTCAAAAAATCACGTGTATCGTACAATAATACTGAAGTAAAAACGTAGTAGTAATAATGCAATACTTTTACGTTCGATATTTTGTTTTTCGTATTATTTCTATATTTTATATACCTTCGTGTATATAACATATTATATATATATAATTCAATAATAACTACGGTATTGCGACAAGTCGATCTATTTATTTCGACGGCCTGCAGTGGTCGCACCATTGTCGTCTGTCCGGCCGCGATAATAGTCCTCGATGATAAGAACAATGATATAATATAATAACAACAACAATAATAATAATAATACGATTATTATATATACCTACAGCTATTGTGTGGGTGTGCGGGTGTGTGTGTGTGTGTGTGTGTGTGTTTGTGGCCCCGATTTATGTCGCGCGTACCTATATAGTGTTAATGCGTTTCGATTAAGTACGTGATTCGAATGATCATTGGGATTTGTATGGCGCAATTCTATAATGGATTTGCTGGCCAATACAATGATGGTAATGTAATAGCCGAAATAATAATGTAATAACGACAAAGACGTACGCGGACGTGCTTGGTATCTGACAGCCCGCCACGAGAGCGTCTATACAGCTGCGCGCACCGGGAGATCGGCGGCGAGAATTATAATTATCATAACAATAATAAGTCCGACTCGTGGTCGCCGCTTTTTCTGCGGCAGGACGACAGGAGTCGACATCGTGCAGAAGTCCTGCGTTGCTGGTGGAGGGGAGTAGTTGGGAGGGACCAAACTTCAACCGTTTTCGAGGCAGGATTATGATAGATACATCTATACACCTATAAAATAATAATAAAATATAAAAGAAAAAAAAAAAACAAAAAAAAAATAAAAAAAAAAGAAAAAAAAAATAAAAAAAAAATATAATATTAATTTTTTTCTCTGCCATTATTTAGTAAATCGACAAACGGAAACGTCTCCTTTATTCTAGTAGTACAATACATTTTTAATGTTATGCGCCATTATAATTTTTTTTAGGTAATTTATTTGGTTTAGATTTTACTCTCGTCGAATACTTTACACCTCCGAGTTTTGAGCCTGCCGTTTCTTTCGATTGCACGTACAGTAAAAAATATGTCTTATCAACGTTGATTTCTGTGGTTTTTACACGACTGTATTGTAGAATTTACCGAAGGGTAGAACTGTTTTAAAATTGAAATGTTTTCCAAAAACGCACTATCATAGATCATTTTTAATATTTCATCAAATAGTTGTACAAATAGAAAAAACAGTAACATTATATTTTATTTAATATATATTATACTGTAGTAGGTACATATTATACTATTATATTTAAAATTGTATTAAATAATATTTTTACTACGAAAAGAGTAATTTGAACAACTTAAATAATTCACCTACCTACGTGATACATCATAATATTTTTCTACTCCTAAAGCACTTATTCTTCACATACCTTTTGAACAAGTTCATTTAAACATCACACTCACAAAAAAAAACAGTTTTGAAAACCACTGCAAACATTAGTCTTGGAAAACCGTTTAGCTCGTTAATCACGGCAAAAAATGTATCACACTTCGTTGAAAACTTTGAGAATATTTTAATTTCAGTTTACATGCTTACATGTTTATATTCTTGCTATATTTTATGGTATCCAATATATTTCAGAAAATTCTAAGAAATATGTACCAAAATGAATTTCTCAACATTTGAAACAATAAAAAAACATGGTTTTTTTACTGAACATTTCTTACTTCCGACTACTTAAAAATAAACATTTTACACGTAACACGAGTTGTAGTGGTTTATTGAAAAACCAGTAATTTTTTTATTATGCTTATAGAAATTCACAGCATTCAAAACTTGTAAAAATGTTCATTTTAAATTTTTAAATTTGGACGGTTTAGCATCAAGTAGAATCGTCAACGTTCAAATTAAGCATTATTATGAAATGATCAGTGCAAATGATAAATAAATTAGCCTTGGCCTGCAGAGAAACCACGTAATTGAATAACCATAATAATATACAATAATTGGTATCTACAGTGAAATTACAGTTTCAGAAATTATTTAATACAGCTGCGCATCATGAACCAATATAATTAAATGTAATATAAATTAAATGTATTATATTTTGTTTTCATACTTTCAGAAAGACAAAAAAAAAAAATAAATTCGATAGTAATGCATTTAGAAAACCGTAATAATAAAAACACGATAAATGTGCTTTCAATTTCAATGTTTTTAAATTTTACGACAGTTATTGTGCGATGTTGTCACTGTCAATTATGTTAATACTGAATACTTGCTCATAGTAACACTATTTATATATCTAAATTTTATGCATTTAAAATTATTTATTTACACTCAAACTGGTGACCATATACTTTCTATTAAGGTAGAGCAGAATAATAAATAAAACATACCCGGAATATTTTATTATAATATTATGTTATCGTTTCATCAAAAATGTTTAAAATTAAATACAATTTCAGTGAAACAAATTATACAATTATAGCTGTTTTGTTCTATTCGTAATAAATTATACAGCTTGACAATATTTCAATCTCAAAATATAAACAAATATATAACCTACCAGAACCAATACAATTATTTTAGCATTGAATGGGCCCTTATTGAAGTTCTACATGACAAACACGGTTAAAATAACCATCATGGCTGACGATCAAGTAAATGAAACTTTAAGCCAAGCAATCCATACAGTAGAAATACCAATATTTAAACCCGAGAAATCTATTTAATGTTTTTTTTTTCGAAACTGAAATCGGTTCAAATAAAAAAGTAAATGAATAAATGTTTGTTCGACAGCTCTCTGCACTGCACATGTCAATTTGTCAACCTTCGGTCGTTTTACTCCGTAATCGTTTCATGCAATTATCATCCTTCACCGGTAAATGAAAATAAAATCAGATTGCTACTACCTATATATGCCTACATGCAATAAAGTGTAAACGTGATTACGATTCCATTTACTGCTGGACTAGTAAAGCTTAAAAAACTTCCGTTTTCAGTTTTAACTTCTCGTACCTTTTATAATATTATATACTTTATGCTTTATTGATACGTTTTTTTTTTATCTTGGTGACGCACGTGTAGTCACTTTAACCCGAGGGGACTTTGGAAATTTATCAAACTAATTATATTCAACATGGGATACTCGCAGTTTTATTTTATTGACGAGGTCAAAACCATGCGGATATTGAAAAACTATCGCAGACTGTAAATTGGCATTTACATAGTATGGACTGTGCTCAAAGTTAATACATAATCGAATATAACCATGTGAAAAGTGTTTCAATTTACATCGAAACCCGAAAGCACTTAAATATTTTTACGCGTGTTTAATGACATTTACCTATCGGCTCTCTAGAGACGTCGATATAATATACGAGTATTACATTTATACTTTTTACCCGGATAATCGTATGAATTAAAAAAAAAAATTAGTCTATCGATTTCATTTGAGATATTTTACGCAGTGATGCTGATTTATGAAACGTTAACCAGAAGATATCTGTCTTAAGTACCCGCAATGTATTTGTGTATAATATATAGACATCGCATAACGGTTGAACGAGTTTTTATAGCCTGTTAAAATATTATTTACATTTTCTCATTTTACAAAAATTATATTATATCTTTACACAGGGTTGTTGTGTTTTTGGCAAAATCCCATTTAAAAAACATTAAATCATTTTTTTTTCGAAGTATAAATTTGTGTAGGTATACACGATTTAAGTACATACAGCGTAGTTTGTAGGAGTATAGCACAGGATTCCAATAATAAAATATAATATTAATTGTGTACGTGAATCATGTTGTTATAACCCAACAGAAATTAAATAAAATAATAAAAAACAAAAATAACCTAACCCAGCTAACAAATTGCATTCAATTCGAGTCAAAAATAAAGTACCTAACTATTGACATCCTAGAATAAAACAATATATATTAACGTTTAAAAAATATAGTCTTTTACAAAAGTTTAAAGGCCGATTTAAGCCTAATGACAATAATAATAACATAATATGATATGACTAAAATTTGTTTTAATCGTTGTGCGAATCGGCATCGTCGTGCGGTGTGTATATATTATACTCTATAGGACTCACTTGTGCGGCTTGGAAGAGAAGTGTGCTCGGCGATTTGTTTTGTTTTAATCGGATTTCTGCAGGTCTCGTATAGTAAGAGGTACTCTGATCGGCACTAATAAATTGGACGATCTCAAAAGAAAATTTTTTTTAAAAAAATCGATTTTGTAAAATACTATACTCTGAACCGCGCGCGTTTATCAAACTGGACGACGTACGATATCAATTATTGTTTATATATTATTATTATTTTATTATAATATGAACATTGGCGGATGAACGGGTAGATTTCGCAGTGGCCACGAGGGGCGCAACGGACGCGACAACGGTAAACGAGCGACTGAACGTTGTGTTAAACGACTGCGACGACGACGACGACGTGTGGTGTGCGACGTGCGTGTGAGCCGGCGAAAAAACACATAACCGGACGTCTTGGACGTGGTCATCTGCGGCGGCGGAGATGGTTCGGGCCGGTCGGAACCGGAATACCGGCCACGACCACTTTAACGACGAAAAATATATAATAATATAACATGTAAACCGTCTGCAGTGTGCAGCGGCGGGAAACGCGCTTGTCTCGCGGGAGAGGTATAGACGCTGCGAGATGTCCGTCTCTGCGGGTATGATATTCGCCGCCGCCGACATAATTTAATAATAATAATGGTAATAACAACGTTTTACCTTCGCGTTTATTATTATTATTGTTATGTGCATAGTAGGGGAGAATCGCTTTCTCCCGGGATGGAAGACATCGTCGATTCGTCAGCGGGCCGATAGTGTCGTATCCCCGCAAACCAAGATATAATAATAATGCCCATAGTATTGTAGCTTTTATTATAATAATAATAATAATAATAATATATTGCAATTCGTACTGTTATGCATAATATTGTTACGATAATTATGTCGATCGAACTTTTATGTGGTGTACAGAGTGATTTCAACTGCAAGCAGAGCATCCCCCCTTTTTTCTTATAACACGTGGTTGCTAGAAGTCGTTCAAAATCTGATTTTTTATTGAATTTTCAAAAATAACTTAAGACCAAATTGTTTTTAATTATTGCGATTTCTTGTACTCTGCTTAATGTGTGCGTCCTGTGGAGATAAAAACTTTTGCAGGTATTGAAACGAAAATCTCGCGGTTCTGAAATTATATTTAGCAGATAATTTTTTCTGAGAACTTTGACGCGTCAAAACCTAAATTCGGACTTGTACCTAGTTCTCGAGTTATTTAACGTTGTGAACTAAATATAATGTATAGATCCATGATAATGGGTGTTTGGAAGATAGAGCGGGCCAAGGTGGTTTGAACGTTTTAGTAACTGTTATTTTACCATAATTTATTATTATTTGTAAAACCACTTTTAAGGACTAATTATATTCTGCATAAACATTTTATCAATTGAGAAATTACTTCTTCAGATTTAAAATTATAGGCACTGATATCAAAATGTTTTAAAACAATTTTCTACTGAATGAGGAGCAGAATTCTAATTCGAAGTTTTTATCTCCTGCACCGTGGGACATTCGCCTTAAGTAGTACCAAAATATCAAAAATTTGAAAATATGGGCTTTAAGTAGGTATTCTTAAAATTCCAAAAACTGGAATTCGAATAACTGCATTATTAGTTAAGGGAAGTGAACATGCTTGGTGAATCGCCCTGTATACACGTCGTAATAATGTTATTCGCGCATCTACTTGTTGTTTTTTTTTTTTTGACAAACCCGTTATGACTCTTGAACCGTCAGAAAGACATAATATAATAATCGTATTCAATTTATTTTATGTATTTTGCTCCAAATCGCATTACATACCTTCGTCATATTATACGAATACCGATTAATCGTCAACACAAGCATGAGTGGAACCTACTTATACCTACCCAACCTATACCAATATACCTATTAATATAATACTTTAATATGTTAACTGCTCAGACGGAAACTGGTTCATCGTGTACATATTTCCTATGATTATTTATTTGCGCCTAAATTGTGGACACGATTTCGTGAAACGGAATGGTTTGATAACAATAATAAAGTAATAAATATTATTATGTGCATCGACCGCAGTGCTTGGACAAACATTGTGTAGGTAGGTGCCTAATTATCTACAAAAACCGCAACGAAAAAAAAAAACGTCTGAAATGAAGAAATAAATAAAAAAAACCTGCAAACAACGCTCTTGAAGTTGATTTTTACTTCTCCCGGATAATACGATCCGCGATAGTTATTCCCGCAATAGCTACTCCTAGCGTTTAGTACCATAATAATATACGATGTATATATTTTATCATATTATTGATAACTAACTTTATAATAATCTAAGATAGCGATTACAGTTTTAAACAATTACCCATACGTCAGTATAATTATGATAAACTATTAAATTAAAAACAAAATATATGGGTAGATGCGGTAGATACGGTCTCACAGCCATCAGCGCCCAACTAATTATTATTAATTTTTTTGTAAAAATAAAAAAATGTATGCGCTTTGTTATCAGAGATTTTTTACTTTCGTCCCCTCCCCTGGTTTGTATTGAAACTATAATATTGACTGTTGAATAAGCAGCTATTGCAACGATCTAATAAATCGTATGCATCTAAACTTACACGGTTTATTATCCCTTGTTAAAAATGTTTACGAATAATAATATGATACCTACGTAAATTGTTTTTTCTGCGATGCACGTCAACACTTCTGTTTTTCAATCATTTTCGTTTCCTGCAGTGCCTACTCGAAACCCTTATGTAAGTAGTGATTTCTGTACCGAAAACAATTTCCGAACGCAAAGCGAATGAGTGCTTAAAATTTAATTTATAACACAAAAGTATTACCGAGCTGATGACGACGACGTGCGTATACTTTGGGATTTTACGTGGAATTCGGAACGAACGAGTGAAAACAATTAATTAATTATTTTCTTAACTACGTTCGCTATATTATTACTTTGACTTTGTGTGTACACACGATGTAGTTTTTCCCGCACCGCTGTGGTTTTCTTTCGGGACACTTGAACACTAATAAACGCCAATGCCATTATGATGTATTAATTAATTTATCAAACTACATTTGAGTTATCCGCTTTATTCAATAATATAACACAATTGAAATGTTTTCCGAACCGCTGTAAATCACTGTTTTAATAATAATATCTTACAATAAATAACGTTAATCGAGACCGTTTTCGGTTACTGCGGTGGAATAAATTGCTGTACAATTTACTTGCCAGCTTTTTCATAAAAATGTCATAATGTCAAAATTAATAGTTATCACTACGTTTTTACTAATTTAGTATTTTGTCAAACACTACGTCAGTATGTACTAAATACAGGGTGATTTCTCAAGCATGTGTTCACTCCCGTTTTTCTTCAATAATCCATTCAGTCAAAATCAAGGTTTTGAAATTTTTTACAAATCAGAACAACCTTTTTTAATACATTATTAGACTATTTTTTTCAAATTTTAGTGAACGTAATATCTTAATTGAATTTCCAAAGAGTAATTTTGAACTATTTAACTTGGTGTGCTATAAGGCTAATGGGTCTAATATGATATCATAATGGGGTTGAAAGACATGGAGACATGATGCTCTGGCCATTTTAGTAATCAACAATATTATCCATCAACATTTATAGGATAACATTAACATATAGTTCGGTAAAAACTGTCCAATTATAATGAACACTAGATTCAATATTACATAGGTTGTATATTTTCGTATAAGGTCGTTTTAAGTATTCTATAATATTAACCTTAGTCTATACTCTATACACAGTAACTTAGAAGCTATTCTCGTTTGAATATTTATTTGGATACAAAAACCATTATTTTTTAACAATTCACAGGTTAAACACACAGAGTCAAATTCACAGTAAAAAAATGTCGGTGTTTGATTATTGATAAAAATAAGTTTGTATATCGCCCCAGAGACACTCCTAAAATTGTATAAAAAACCACTGAAATGAAAACATTACAATGATCATTGAGACCTATATGTACACAAAACACACAAAAGTTTCAAAAATGTTAATTTGTATTATTCATAATTATTTTTAGTAAACTAAAATATGGCGGTGATTTGCCCTGTATTCCATAACAATTATAAAAACCTATTCTACGAACACTCGTTTAGTAAAAAAAACTTTATCGGTTAACGAAATGTCTGATGATATTATCAATCATGACGACGGAAGGTGCAGTATGTAGTGATGTGTGTACCTATCTCTTTTGGGCCGTTGTTCTTGTGAAATTTATGTATTCAATGGCGTGTGGACTGCAGGACAAGCGACTATCGTACTACGAGTGGGGGGCACATTAATAGCTGAATATAATGGATTTCCTGCGCATATCCGGCCACCGACGAAAAAAGTAAAGTGCCCGTTATTCAATAAACGTTTTGTACCCATACCTATTTTGTGTACACATTTTACATATTATGCAAATTGCAGATGACACCCGTCATCGATAATGATATGTAAATTATTTTATCCGCGTGCTTAATGAGTCTATGCCTATACTAGTATTGGACTCGCATATTGCTCGAAATTATTGTGTCACATAGTATACATTATTATACACGATGGCGCCGTTAACATTGTCGAATGGAGGTCCTACTGTAGGGTAGTTATTATTATATTATGACGTATAAAGCTATTTTTATTATAATAAATGTAAATCCATACATAATACGATTTCATCAAAATCCTATAGATATGTCTAGGCTTTTTCGATTTATTGATTTTTTTTTCAAATTCGTTTCAAATGCAAAACCTAAACAATATATGTATACAACCAATAATTATAGATATAATAAATCATAATTGTATATATAAATGAAAACAACGAAAAACTTTAAATCGAATTTCCTCCAATTTCCTAGCGTACCTGCAAAAACCAAATATACTATTATCACTATAGTATTATATCCCTAGGGATCTCCACTTTGTCGAAATTATTTATTTGCCAAATTACGGTTGTCACTATTGTCATATATATACATATAAATATATTATGTCAACGTAGTATAATCCAATTGTGTGGTTGTCAAACGCGTGTCCAATATAACTGATAGGTTTAAAATCTCAAATTTAGCTTAAATTAAATTCCTTGTTTAAAATTCCGACTATTTTAAAATCTGAAATTGAAGTGATATTATATAATAACGTTGCGCATTCTTCCATACTGCAAAGCTTAAAGGTCTTTCGAAAGTAACGCAAATATTCGAAACTGCGACTGCATTTATTATTAAATATATTAGCAAAATAAATAAACGCCTTTTTTATTTCACCGAATCGTATGATATATTTTATAAGATAAAAAAAAATAAGCAACAAACAATAATAATTCACTTTCTGCTGCTTCTATTTGCAGGGTTCGGTTTATCTGCACATTCTTTGTTT